TTTCGGATCAAGTTCGAAATGGCCGACTGGCGGCCATTTTGTTAAAGAATTCAGTTCTGGATCCGTATCCAAGACATGTCTGGATTGATTAAGTTCAAACTTCACACACACATGGTACATCATGTCACAAATAGAGATCTGCATTTGTTTCATGATCTGCTTAATAATAGCGAAATGATGGCCATTTTAAGGCCGAAAATGCATCAAAATTTTCACAATTCCAGAACTGGATCTCGGTCATGCATGGATGGATTTTGTTCAGATTTAGCACAATGTGTTGTACATATGCAGGTGCATTTCGGTCATGATCTGCTTTGAATGTATATGTCACTCAAATATGAACGGAACGGGGACGTGTCATTGACAATGACTTGTTATTTTTGGGGCGTAGGTTTCAAACTGATAAATCTTTTATCATGCTAATATTATAGACATATGCAAATTTGCATTTCATAATGTCGATTTTATGTGTAATCAAACACAGTACTTTCAATTTCATGAAGACATGAATTTGTTTTATATAAATTATTTATAAATATTTTGTAAATTTACAAAAACAATCACAACTTGTTTGGGATGCATGGCAGTAAATGGGCCAGTGATGCAAAGAACCCTGCATATAATCAAAGTAATGGGCATAACCAAAGTGGTCTATTTATATATGAATAAAGCACAAACACCTTCTTTGGTAAACAGTTCATAAATTTCCATAACACTTCATGCATAGTTAAATTCACAGTGAGCTATTCGATAAATTTATTTATGCCAACAGATTATACATTTTTTTAAAACCATATTGATCATAATAAGTACCAGTTGATTGTAGTTTATTTGCTTCATATGAACTGTGGGGTTTTATGCAAATACTGCACTGTATACACTGCTACATGTTTGTTAAAGGCTAGTTTTGCAGGCAAAGGCTCTCTATGAAGGCCTGGAGAGTTAGCTGTGACAAATAAAAGACTCTCTCAAAGTAGAGTCTTCAACTTTTCTGTAATTTCAAAGCCAGTCACCCATGGAAACACCTTGGGACTGAATTTTTTCCCCTTTTCTTGATAGTTTGTTATTTTCTTCAATAGATTGAATCCCTTGCGTGGAAACACCAAATCTTTTTCACTGAGAGACTCACAAGGGCAAAAATCATTGTTGCCATCGCCAACATAACAAACTGAGGCATATCCATTGCCACCTTGTTTCTGCACTCTAATGTAATCCCATAATACCTCTCTCTTGCAAAGGTTCAGGGGACAGTAGTCGCAGTCATGACTGTGGTAGTGTTTGATTTTCAGACATCCTTTATCATCAAAATGACCAGGGTTTGTCACGACTTTCATCACAGCCTTCTCCAATCTAGTGGCTTCTAGAATAGTATTGATAAATACCATATTAGAATCTGAGACTATAATGCAATCAAAGGAACCATTCTCTGCTTGATACATCAATAAATCCTTCATTCCATCAATGAAAGGAATTTCTTTCATGCAGTCCTTGATCTGTTCTGGAGTGATTTTCAATTGATGCATGTGTCCCATTATCTCTGCCATGTAGTCAGTCCAACTGTTGTGCATTCTATAGTGGCGATGTATCTGTACAGGCACTTTTGCATTGGGTAGTAGTTTCAGTATCCATGTGTCGGTATTCCCATCCACTAATGTGTGGTCAAAATCAAACACCAATAAATTCTTGTTATTGTTAGCCATTGATGACAGTGTTCTGGATACTGTGAAAAGAAATATACATCTACAAATTTAATACAATTTTAAGCATATTAATGAGATAATTTTAAAACTACACTTTCCATCTGTGCATGTTGTTGTTGTTAATCTCAAGGTAAAACAAGGTCGACAATGTTATTTAAAAGTTGTATATTGTTGGCAAAACTTAGTTGATAGCCCAATTTTGAGTAACTTGGTTGAAACTCAAGTTATGGCATTTGTGAGTCGTACTGACGGAAAGCTGATGTATTGCGCCATTTATTAACTAGTTATTTGTTGTCACTATGATAAATCCCATCATGCATTGCTGTTAGAATTCTACTAACTAAACAAGAAAGTACAAAATGTTTAAATGCAACAGTTACGCAAGTAAAATATTTGAAGAGGAGGGACCTAATGGCTATACAGAAAACAACTATAGAATTAATACAGATTCAGTTCAAAAAAATAGGTTTAATATTTAAATTTTAAAAATTACAGTATGGTTAGCCAGAAGAATAAAAAGTGTCTGCTATAGTCATACTTAATAATTAAGTAGTTTTTACCTAGGATAAAATGTTTTAAAATGTTGATGTACTAAGGTCTAGGTTCAGGGCATGCAAAGACAGTGTAATATTGTTTGCTTCTTTTGTACATGTACACATATGGACATCTAAGACATCCAGGACAGCTATTAGAGTACAACTCACATGAAAAAATTGCTCTCACAAGCAAGTAGAAAGTTTCTGTCCCTATTCCTCTATTTACACTGCGTACACACTTTGTAAGTCACCAAATATGTTCAGTATAATGGCTTTTGCTCAACCTGTCACAAGTTTGTGCATTAATCATGTTCACATCGTACATTTACCGGTATTGCTGCTGCATTCATGTCAAGCATGCTTCTATGAAACTCACATTTAATTAATTATTCGCACTAAGAGTATGAAAATAACATCATGTCTAAAAACAATTGTCAATCCTGATCCTATAATTACGAGCTGAAAAAATAATCCAAAAACTGATGTAAAAGTGTTATTTATGATTTGTTGAGTCCAGCAAACTGTTGAAAGTGAAGGTTTATTCTTCAAGGTGATCAGGTTACGAAGTTCATGTTTGTTAGTATTAGTCCTATTGCACAAAATTGTGCATAATGTTCTCAATAACTTTTATCAGTGACCTAATTATCGGTAGTACCGTATGCATTTTGAGAAAACACTAAGTGTGCTTGTGCAGTTGTAAATGGAACAATTTTGAAAGCAATCAAATCATGCATAGAACTACGGTAACTCCTGAAAGAAACTAGTAGGGGCACTACTAAATGACTCCTGGAACCACCAGGTGCCATCCGGGCACCTCTCAGGAGTGTTTGGTACCTTCTGGGCGCTAAATTCCGGGCTCAAAAGTAACTTGTAAGTGGTCGGAATTGGTTAGAAACATAAACAGTTCATTGAATACATGGTGTGCAGCGAAAAAAAGATATTTATTTATAGACAATCGTTGACACAAATACCAGCGATCCTTGTGGGTAACCTACCGACTGTGCCTCCAGTCAATTGACAGACATGCATGTCAACAAAAACGGTTATACTTGTGTTATTACTCAATGTTGTAAGGGACTACGTCAAAAGATCGATGTCGGATAAAAAACTTAATTCATTTAGTTTTTTTCCAACCCCCCCTACCCCCCACTGAAACTTAATTGATAAATATTGGTCATGGCGTCAGACTACATTCACCATTAAATACAAATTGATAATCGGACAGTAGTATTGCATAGCAGTTGGTTGTCGGGTGGGTGTAAAAAGACTTTACAAATGCACCTCATTTGACGCACAGATTTACACTCGAAACAAACCATTTTTCTGTGTGTTTTTTTCCTTTTTCGGTTATTTCTGTCCATGATTGGATAGAAAAAAAACGAACTACAAATACTCCAAGATTTTTTTGACTTCATTAAAAAATAAAATCGTTTTTGTAGGATGGAAACTTTTTGAGGTCAAAACCCCCCACCCCCAAACTAAAGGAAATAAGTTTTTTATCCGACATCGATCTTTTGACGTCGTCCCTAATAATAATAATATTTATTGCATCTTTAGAAATACAGTATTTCTATCAGTATCATTAGCAATAAAAGTTGTAATGACAATCGTTGACACAAATATCGACCATCGTTGTGGTTACCAATCATCCGCCCTTACTTAGATATCATCAAAAATGGTTATTGCAGTATTAAATCCACAGTATCACTGAAAATGATATACATTTTTTCATGCTGTTTGTGTTGTTACAGCCCGGCATAAGGCTATGACGCGATGTTATTATGAGCATGAATATTTCATGTCTATAAATATATCATTGTTTCTTTGTTGCTGCACACAGTGTATTTAATGTTTCTAACCATTTCACCAATTACAGGTCACTTTTACTTCCTGGGAGCTGCCCGGGGAGGTGCCTAGATGGCACCGGGCGGTCCCGGTAGTTGTTTAGTGAATCTGAGCTAGTAGTGCCAAACTCCTTGACAGTTGAATTGTTTTGCAATAGACACAATTTTAGGGCCTGTACATTCAATTGTGAGTTTCGTTGCGAATATTTTGTGACGAAATCGCTGAAATGATTTCATCTATTCATAAAAAGGATGTTGTTGCTTCGATTGTGGCCCAAGGGGGTCACCCAATATTAAAACTTTACACCATGTGCATTCTAATTGAAAAATAATAGGCCCCTAGGGTTGGCACCACATTGGCAAACCATACCC